CCGCCCATCAGATGCTTGTCTCTGGCTGGAGACCTCGTCCCTTAAATAAAGGAAGAGGCTGGATTATCTTGAAGTCCTCATTCAGGAAACAAAGTTCGCAATATAAAAATTAAATTTGCACAAGTTCATTAAAAATAAAAAAATGCCTCCTATTAAGAAAGCTCAAATGGGAAGCCTCTTTATAAACAACCCGTCCCTATGAAGAGACACGTGGGCACTTCGACGAGGATTTGGATCCCAAAGAGAACCACTTCTGCACTCATGAAGTGTGGCACATGCCTTTAATAATAAAGTTGTTAACGAAGCCTCAGCATGGGCGAACTGCTCAACCTCATGCTCGGGAAAGTTATCAATAATGGTAAGCTAAAAATATTCTTATGAAAGCAAGGCTATCAAAAGATTAAAAAATTACCTCCTAGTAACAAAGATCAAAGGGAAAGCATCTTCATAGATAATCTATCCCTATGAAGAGATGTGTGGACACTTCGACGAGAAGTTGGATCCCATGAAGGACCACATGCACTCACGAAGTGTGGCACATGCCTTTAACAGCTAAAGCTGTTAAGGAAGCTTCAATATGGGCGAACCACTCAACCTTATGCTCAGAAAAAAGGATAAAGGGCAAGCGAACTGCCTATTCTTGTACAAATTATAAACAAAGCCGACAAAAGACTGAAGTGCTAAAGAGCCTCAGTTTATAAACATTGATGTTCTTAAGCCCCTGTTTGACCCTCATTATTTTTTTCATTCTCATTCTTCTACTCATTTTTAACCACACATTCTTCAATAAAATAATATTTTCCGTCACATCAATAACTTTTCTTTCATTTTCAACCACATATTCCCCATTACATCACTTCAAAAAAATGCATTCTCTCATTTTAATGTGCACCAAACAGGCTCTAAGATCAGAAACCTATTAAGGCACACGACCTTCTAACACATGCAAAATTGCAAGTTTAATTATGTTATTGAGGTTCAATATGCATAAGTTCGACATTATTGTCAGTTCTATGTTATTATAAGTTTAACGTCACTATACGTCTGATGTTACTATAAATCTGATGTAACTATGAGTTTGATATTAGTATTGGAGTGGAGTGGAGTGGGTTCGAATTACACCGAAGAGCATGGCAATACATTAAACAAGAGCAGTAAGTACGAAAAGTAAATAACACCGGTACATGAGCTAAAAGCATTTTATTTATTTAACAAATATTCGACTCAAACTTGAGGGACTATTGTGATACTAGTATCTTAGTATCATTACATTATTACTGCTAGTATATGCATTATATTATCGCTGCCGAGTACGTACTTTACATCACTGCTAGCAGGTTATGACGAATATTATATCTCGGAGAAATTTGATATGTCATTATTTACTTTATCGTCATGAGTAATTTGATGGGCAAATGGACCCCGAAATTTATTTGGTATATGTGCGGATATATTGTATTGTATTACATGATTGGTTTAATCCATATTACAGAGGAAATGTTGTCGAAATTTCGACAAATTATATGCGACACATTACGAGGCAATTCGTAAGCCCTCACTTATTCAGGCTGGCATGCATATTTTCTAAAGGCAATTCGCAAGTCCCAATTTATCAGAGCTACTTATATTTCTGAGGCAATCTGCAAGGCCTCATCTACCGATAGCTTAAATTTCAAAGTTTGACCCTCACATGAATAAACAACTCAAACTTTGGGGACTATTGTTATACCCATAAAATATCGCATATTGGGCTTGGGTCCTGTCCATTAGGCCCACTAGGCCCATTTTCACTTCAATATGTATGCGATTCATTTCATAACAAATGGGAGGTCCACGTGAATTGGACGTGGCAGGGATTCTGTTGGCTCATTTTTCGGAGTCAACAACAACAACAACAACAACAACAACAACAACAATAATAATAATAATAATAACAAACCACATCGGTAAATGTTCATCTGTACAAGGGGAAGTGTTGTAGTTTTAATCACATATTAGGTATCTATCTCTGTTAATTAAATTATAAGTATCTTATCGAGCACAACCATGTGCTAAATAAAAACTTCTTTTGATTTCAAATCAATCTCATTAATCCTTGCTGCTCATAAGCATATTTTAACGGTCACTCACTTTAAGACTTGAATCTCCAACGACAACAAGAAGAAAGAATTGAAGAAATCAAGTGAAGAAATGGTGGAAATTATAAAAGGGACTCCGATTAGCACTTCAAAAGAATTTTTTCTTACCTTTTCTTTTATGTTTTCCATTATAAATTGTATGGATTTCAGGTTCTATTTCATGAGCTAGACAATTTAGCTAGGGTTTAATGTAGCCAACTTGAGATTATGGTTTGATGAATACATGAATTATTTCTTTTGAAATTTTTCACTTATATTTAATTGTGTTATGATTATAATGCTTTCAATTACCTGATCAATAATTGAATGAATAGATGCTAGTCAATTTCGGCACTCGAGAGAGTGGAATTTAGGCGTGATCATAAAATTGACACAACGTAAGTTTTATGAGTTTCGAGAGAAAGTGTAAAATCTATGAAACTTACTCCACAAAAGAATCGAGACTTTGATAAATTCTAGACTTTAATTCGGAATAGAGATATTGTGATTGAAGTCTATGATTAATTTCTAGCCGGCACTCGAGAGAGGGGAGAGAAATACAATTGGATTCTTACTTTTAAATATGAAAAAATTAATTGGAATAATTTGATATCATTGAATTATAATTGAAAGTTGGTGAAATCATTCTCTAGGCTTTCTCATTTTAATAATTTTATATTCTACAATTTTGTCGTCGCATATTACTTTTGATTAGTTTAAAACAATCATTCAA